GATTAAGTTCCCAGAACTAAGAGCAGAACTGGTGACAAACAATAGAAGATGACATAGATAGGTAGATAGATTTTGACAAAGAAGCCCCAAACAATCAAAACATGACTGATGATGAAATTATAGAATTAGTATGAACAGCAAAAAAGCCAGAAGAGTACAATGAAGAAGATGGCGAGGTAGAGGAAGAGGATGAAGAAACATTAAAGGAAAAATGTAATATGGAAAAAGTTTTGCAACATTTTGAAGTCATTCTGGCATTTATGGACTCGAGTAACAGTGAGTTTGAAACTATGGATATGATGAGCCTGTACAGTTTGTATATGAAGTTTTTGAAAACAAGGTCAAAGGGAATGAAACAAATGTCAATTAACACTTTCGCGCTTTATATTAGAGATAACTCGTCGCCGTTTTCTCTTACGATTCCGCATAACAGCCTACTTTTCTCGTCCATCGAAAAAATATTTCTATAAATTCCATTTTTTAACCGAAATGGACGGGGATACTTTTGTTTTGTAGAGAATTTATTTGCGAATGTTTTGGTACCAGAATGAATATTATATCACATAAACTTCTATGAGTAAAAAAAAAAATACAACAAGTATGTTTGGGGGTGTGGCGAGCGTGTGGCAGTGGGTTCCCTTTAGCCGTTGATATATCCAACACGTGGGAAATATTTGTATGTGTTATGTATATGTCTGTGTAGGGAATTTTACTGCAATCACTGTCATGCAAATTATAAAATGTTTCAACAAGTATAAACATGACAAACATCAAACGAACGAAAACAATGCGTTCGTTTCTGCCGCGAACGCATACTGAGCGACGTGGTTCTATATTTGGCGCTTCTCTTATACATGTTTTGTACAAATGTTATACATTTCATCTTATAGAAAATTTTATTGCGAACACATTGGTATAAAAAAGAAATACGTACATAGAAAAGTAGGGTCAGGAAACGTATAAACTTTCCAAGCATGATTTCCCCCCTGTGTTTTCGCCAGTGCGCTCGCGGCTAACTACTCTCCACTTCACACACTCTTGCGGGTGGGCAATTACCTATATTAAACATTCATATGCATATGTCCGTGTAGAGAATTCTATTGCGATTCCAATGATACCACAATTAGCGATGTAGGACAACTGTAGGCTTCGCAACCATTAAGAGAGTGGAAACATTTTGTTGCTGTTTGGCGCTCTCGGCGAGTGATCTGCATAGTTTTTTATTTGGTGTTGATACTCCTTATGCTTGGGCGGCATTTTATAGGTATGCTCTTATAGACAATTTCATTGCGAACACAGTGTTACCAAATTTAAATACGTGCGCCTTCAATTATTGTCAGGACAGTCAAAAGAGTGTACACTTTTCGGTCTTACCGCATAGGCGCGCGAAGTGCCGAAAGCATCTGGGGTATTGTTTTTTTTTGAGCGCCGAGAGCGCGAAAGTGTTAAAGAGTCTTTTGCAAATGCTTCCAAGTAAGCTTGCTTTGCCTCAGTGCACCTGATTCATCACATGTTTACCCAAATGCGTCAATATCTGAGGTTACCTTATCTCCATTAATCTCCACTTCAGTCAACCCAACACCATCAACATCCATCACTACCACCTCTTCCATGTAAATAACTATGCTCCATCAACAATGATCACCAACATAACAAGTGGATCAGGACTTCTCTTATTGGTGAGTAAAAACCAAATACTGTCACATTTATGTTATGAACCTGTCAATTTTTTCCCCTAGATTTCCCTTATTTTTTCCCTACATTTCTTGTTTATTTTTTTTTCCTCCATTTCTCACTTACGAACTTACACGATCACCGACGGGTCTCGTCCCCAAGGAGTTCGTAAACCAAGAGGTCCTATGTACCTGTGCGATGGCTGAAGTTTCTTTCCAGCTGCTAGTTTGCTTGTGTTGTTGTTTTGGGGCTTATTTAATATGAATTTTGGGGAATTTTCCCTCTGTGGATAGAGGTGGTCTGCTTAGCTACTTATTAGGCCATCCTAGGTTGTGCTGGCTCTCCTCTGTTGTCTCCGAGGTTTCACTTCTGCTACTGGTAATTAGAATGCCTGTTCTCAGGCAGGGGGGTTCTACTGGCTTAGTTGGCCACAGTGCCTGGGCTTCCCGTGGAGCTAACATATCCTTCGGGCCCTGTAAAACGCCAGTGCTCGGGTTGGTAACATAGATCCATTCGAGTCCACTCTTGCCTTGTGCAAAGTTGACGGTTGTTCGTCGCCCTTGCCTCAGGGAGATGATTGCCCCTTCTGCCTCTGCCATGCTGCCTGTCGAGTCGGTGACACCTACGACCCAGTGTCTTGAGGGACGAATTCTCCCGCTTGTGTTTCAGTTTACCCATTCCTCATCAGCGGGTGAGAGGATTCAGGCAGCATTGCAAGCTCACTTCTTGCAACGTGTCAGGTTGATTGCCCAATTGGAGGCCCCAGAGCTCCCCTATTGGGTTTTAATGGCCTGGTTTTGGGGACGTTGGTCACTTCGACTTTGGTTCTGTTCGTGCCCCCGCTTCCTTCCCAGGTGGTCGGGCCTGTTCTTCTCCGCCAAGGCTTCCAGTTCATCCCAGCCACCTTCCTTCTCGGGAGCCTTTGCCTTTGACTCCGCCTTTTCTTCTGATGTGGTTGGCGTGGCTCTGCCCTGGGGCCTGTATTGTGGATTCCTCGGGGGAAGTCCGCTTGGAGCACTTGTTCTCTTTTTGCCCAGACTTGGGACCTTGTGCCCTCTGGGCAGGGGTGGGGTTTTTCGTCCCCTCCTTCCCTTCTGTATCAGTTTACCATATTTGCCGGCATGATTTATGCACCCTAGGGTCGGGCTGCATCTATATTTTGCTTGGATGTTTGTTTTGGCGCCCATTTTGCTCCACTATATGGATCGGTCGTTCACTTTTGTTTGACATATTTCTAGTGTGGGTTATGTCTGATATGAAAGGGGGTGGGGAGGTACGTGAATTTGTGTGTTTCCCGCATCACTGCTGAGGTGTCGTCGGTGGTTTGGGTAAGTTTGTGTTAGTCTCGTTGCCCTCTTGTTGTTGTGCTTGTGGGGGTTGCGCTGTTGTTCTCCTGGGGGTGCACATTCCTGAGCTCCTGAGGTTCTCCATTTGGTGCCTTTACTTCATCACTGCCTCCTGCATTCCCTTTCCTTCTTTCTCTGCCTCTGGACATGTTCTTTTTTTCATGTCAAGGTGACTCCTTTGGGTACTCTGTTACCTCCGGTGACTCATTATGGATGTACTACTAGTGTTTATTCATCCATCTTTTTCTACCTTGTCTGCAATTACAGAACCCACACCTGAAGTGCATACTTTATGTGGGTCCAAACAAGATCAAGCTCAAGCTGAAGGATGCCATGTTATGTCTTGTTTATTTATGTTTCAAGCATCCTACCCTGTCTGTTCCTCTGTGGACTTATGAGTGGTGGTCCTGTCTCCTGGTTCTGTGTTACCTGGCTGTCTTGTCTTGTGTTTGCGACTGTGATACTTCTATATATTATTAACTCGGTCTTGTGTTCACACACTGTGGACATTGGATCATTGGATTGTTTTCTTTATTTTTTGGCCACAGGTTTTTGTGCCTTGTGACCCTGTCCTATATGCTCGTCCGGCTCCCAAGCATACGGCCCTTGGTATTTTGTCCGTATAATGGCCATTTTAACCGTGGGGGATTCAAATTGTGTGTGTTATCCTTGATACCTCAAGGTATATACCAGCAAATGTGGTAGGTAGGGCACTCCCCAAGGTTCATTTACGGGTGCCCTAAGGTTCCTCGGATTTGTCATTTGGATGTTTTTCTTCTTCTCGGATTCCCCTTGTGGGGGTTTGGGAGGCTCTTGGTGCGTACCTCCTGCAAGACCCAGTTTATGCCTCTGTGTTGGATCCAGTTTTTGTTTGAGTTTGGTTCCTCTTCCTCTGATTGGTTGCTTTTTGAGGTTCTTGTGTCTTCCAAGCTGGCAGCCTGCCTCGATAATTGGTTGGTGTGGGCTCCCTGCCTGTCTGCTTGTCTGGTAGCCTTGTATCAGGTTCATTCCCAGCTGGCCGGGTTTGAATTTCTGGTAATATTGTCCCAGTTGGTTGCATCTCAGATTCAGACTTGGCTGGGCCTCACATGGGATTCTCGGACTGTCTGTCTCTCTCTCTCTTTCCTACAGTTCTGCTCTGGCTGCAGTCCCACTTACAGCTGTTTTTGAGGGGGACCCAGGTCACTCTGCAGTTGCTAGAGCAGTTGTGTGGGAGCCTGTGTTTGCCCTTCTGGTTTATCTGTTGGGCAGGATTTGGTTTTGGAGCTGCTCTGGTATCTTCGGAGCCACCTCTCACTGCATTCATGGCCGTTGGGTTTGTACCCTGATGTCTTTACGTTGGTTGCTGCGTCACCGGCTTCCTCTTCGGGTTTTTCGGGGGTTGGTGTCTTGGCGCTTTAATCTTCCCTCACTCAATCTATACACGAATGCCTTGTCTCTCGGTTAGGGCTTTGTGTCCAGTGCTCACCAATCTGGCTAGGGGTGCTGGGGGCTTCATCAGACTCACAGTATGGTATGGGAGTTTGCGTGGTGTGGCAGGCGCTGTGCCGGATTCGGCTTCCTCGGGGTTCTTTGATCTGGCTCTATTCGGAATACTTTTCCTTGGTTCGTGATCTCAACAATGGAGGGGGGGGGGTCTTCGATCCGTGGCTCTTTGGGGCTGGTCGCTTCGAGTAGGTCTTATGCCGAGTCTCGAGGTTTAGCTCTGTGCGGTTCACTTTCAGGGTGTGTCCAACGTTCTAGTAGATGGCCTATCTCGTTTCATTCCTCTTTCCATGGAGTGGCCGGTCGACGCAGAGTCCTTTCATTGGCCGCCCGGAGGTGGACGTATTCACGTCGGCATGGTCTCAGCGTCGTCCACTGTACTGTACTTGGTGCTGTTCTCAGACTGCGAGGCTATCGTGGTAGATGCTTTTCAGCAGGACTAGTCAAGGTGGGGGTTTCCCCGGTCCAGATGTATCTCTCGGTACTGGCTTGCTTAGAATACTATCAGGGGGAAGGGTTCTTTTCCTGATTCCATGGTGGCTGGCCCAGCCTTGGTTTCAAGTGCTGATTGTTTGGTGATTTACACCTGATTCACTCGGTAATTTTCGGTGATTCATTGATTCACACTTCGTGTCTAGTCTTTTTGATGTGGGTGTATTGCCATTTCTATGGTAGTCAGGTGGCTTCTTTGATGGTGTCCCATCTGTGGTCTTCTAGGCGACAATATGTAGTCTTGGCGGTCTTTCTGATAGTTCCATTCTCTTAGGAGATTTTCTGCAATTTCGCACTGGGTTTTGTTGTTCTTTCTTGCTCAGCTTTTTCTGGACCGGCGTCTCATGCCAAATACTGTCGCTTACTAGCGTGCGACGTTGTCAGAGCCAACACCAACGGATGTAGCTTTCACGTGCGTTTGTTCACCTCTGACCTGTTCATGCCTGAGCCTTCCTGGTCTTTAGATCGGGTTCTTTGTTTTCAGTCTTCTCCTCGTTTTGTCATGGCCCCTTTGGTCTGTGATTGTTTTCGGAAGGCCTTATTTTTGTTGGCCTTGGCTTCTGGGGCTCATGTTTGGGAGCTTCGTGCTCTCTGGCACTGGGGGTTCTGTTCCTTTAGTTCTGGTGGTCAGTTTGTTCGATTGCAGCTTTCTTCTTTTCTGAGGAGAAAGGGACGGCCAACTTCCATAGGGGTCCGTAAGTGGTGGATACTTGGTTAGGCTGGGGGTTGCATCACGTGTTGTGTCCGGTGGCGGCTTTATGCCATTATCTGTGGGCCTCTGGTTCTGTGACGGTGGACGCTCTTTGGGTGGATCTGGGTTCCCTGGTTGGCTGTTCCAGGGCTCAGGTCTGTCAGGTTGTCTGCAGTGTCAAGTCCAGCCAGCCTGCAGTCTGGCTGAAGGCTGAAATAAAGAAATACTGAAAAATAAAGAAATACTGTTTTCTTTACTGAAACAAAGAAAAAGCCAAAATACTTCCTCACATATGCGAAATCAAAAGCAAAACCACTGCCAGTATTGGACCTATTCGTACGAGTGAAGGTTCATACAAGGAGGATGACAAAGAAGATTGCAGTCTCTGTGGTGTAGTGGTAAGACACTCGCCTGGCGTTCCGCGAGCGCTTTGCCATGGGTTCGTATCCTGGCCGGGGAGGATTTACTGGGCCCAAATCCTTAACTGTAGCCTCTGTTTAACGCAACAGTAAAATGTGTACTTGGTTGTAACGATGATTCTTCGCGGCAGGGATCATATTCCAGGGATCTGCCCAAAACGCTACGCATACTAGTGGCTGTACAAGAATGTAACAACTCTTGTATAAATAAAAAAAAAAAAAAAATTAGTGAAATCCTAAAACAGCAGTATGAGGACATGTTTAACACTCCAATAAACAACATGAAAGTTGAAGATCCAGACAATTTCTTTGTGTGATATTCAAATCCCTGTAAATATAACTGATATGAACACGAGCGTACAAGATTTTGAAAGAGAAATTGAAAACATGCCCATGCAGTCAGCTCCGGGTCCAGATTCATGGAATTCAATATTTACAAAGAAATGCAAGGTGCAAGCACAGGCACTCAGTATAGTGGGGAGGAAGAGCTTGGACATGGGGGAGATACCAGATGCACTTAAAAGTAGCAGACATAGCCCCTCTACACAAGGGAGGGGGGGGAGCAAAGTCTGGCTTTGTGTGACTTTGGGGAGTCTGTCGCAGCTGTCTGTCTCTTCTTCAACTTGAGACCTGCAGTGCTGCTGCCTCCCGGTTAAGTCCATGTTTTTCCGTATCTGTGAGTAGTTAGCTTCAGGGAACCGACTGGGATCCCCCAGAAAACCAGTGTTGAATGTAATGAAATGCCATTTTCTTGGTGAAGCTCCAGAGGCTCCCTGATACCCCCCTTCAGTCGGCAATTTTTGGGCTTCACATCAGGCCTCATACTGAGGTTGCAAGTAGCTGGCTCACCTGAGTGGGCTCCTCCTCCCCCTCCCCCCTATAAGGGGGGGAGGGGTAGATACGCTAATGAGCGGGATTTCTAGTTGAGGGCAAGGTTGCCAGTTTCGGTTATTTTGATACTTTTCTTTTAGCAGGCATTTCTTTGCTCTTTCTGGCTGTAGGTCGCATTTTACTGGTTAGTTTGTATTGGCTTGCCTATCTTTCTGGGTGCCCACCCCGGTAGATGGCAGAATATGACATACTTTATGAAAAGTGGTCATATGCCATTGCTCCCTGCGCCTCTATGACAGGACTAGGTTCTGTCGCTGGTTCCTGGTAGGCATGTGAACTCAAAGTAACTGATAACCCCAAACTAATATACCTGTAGTACATATCAGTTCGGATAGCTTCAGGGATCCTCTGGGGCTTCGCCCGGAAAATGACATTTCATTATATTCAACTCTGGGTTTTTTTGCTAATAATATTGAGCTTCAAACTCTCACACCCTGTTTATCCGTGATCAGCTGGCAAGATGCATTTATTTTGGCAACAGTTATATTTTCTTGATAATCTGGTAACATAGCCATTTATTTACAAGTGTGTGTGTGTGTGTGTTGAATAATTTGATAAGCACATAGTTCACATAATATATGATAATGTTTCAATTGATGATTGGCTTGCCTGATATACTTCATTACAACCATAAAGAGTAGTGAAAAGGATATGAAAATAATATTCAATGCACACAGTGAGTCAAAATAATGTAGTTGAAGAAATGATGACCATACCACACATCAGAAGATGGAGAAGTGACGAAGTTTCAGTCCGTCCTGGATCATTATCGAGTCGTGTGAAAGAGACAACTTGATAATCATACAGGACGAACGGAAATGTCGTTGCTTTTCCTTCTTCTGATATGTGGTTTGGTCATCATAATGTTCAATGGTGTTGGGCTCTGGGCGATGCCATATGACTTAATTGGCACCATATGGTTGAAAGTATAGATTGAAACAGGAATAAGCCACCAATGTTGCACTCACAGTTGATCATCATCATTATATGACGATAACTGCATTCATTTATAAACGTAACCATGATATGATTTCAGGATTTTCTCAAGGGTCCAGGTAAACTCCAATACATTCACATAGACTAGTTATTTTCTTATTTGCATTTAACATGTAAAATCCAGGCAATAATTATATAAATTGTATGATTACTGCATTTGCCTAGGTAACATACATGAAGATATATGTTACACCTAGTAACGTAACCATGAAATGAGCAGGATTTTTTAAGGGGGTCAAGGTAAACTCCATTACATCCACATACGCCTGTTATATCTTTACTTACATCATCCACTTAAAACCCAGACAACAACTTTTTAAATCATATGATTTAAACATGCTTCTTTTTTGTAAGAAGCGGGCTAGTCTTGGGGACACCATGTGTATAAGGTATGGCACGATGGCCCCCTGGGTGACCTGAGCTGCCACCTGGTGGTGAACTAGTTCATGATTTGTTGACGCTGAGTAAACTACCACATCTCTTGTTCCAATCTTTTTCCTCTGTAATTATGACACACAGGTTTTTTTAATTTTGTTATACTTTCTGGGCAGTTTTTCTAAATTTTGGTTTGATCTTGGATCCCCATACTCCTCTTCTTTCTATTGGCACACCAGATTCTGGTCTTAGTGTTAGGTAGGCCTGCACAAATCCGTGGCCTGGAAGTTTTATGGATGTGTGTGGGGTATCGGAGCCAGTGCATCAGAAATCTACCAAGTCCAAGAAATCTGTTTCATTCCATTCATCACTTCATTTATTATTTGTTGTAGTCTGTTAACACTTTCGCGCACCCCGCGCGCCACCCCTCAACTGTGCGATATGGGCCCAGCGTGTCACGGGAGCGCGCGTTAATTCCGAACAGTGTATACTCTCTCCAACTTTGTCACCTCAATTCTCGTTCTACGAGATTAAATTTGGTATCATTGTGTTCGCAATAAAATTCTCTACAGCACTAAATGCATATAAACTCCAAAAGCCCGGCTAATTACCCGCAGCAAACAGAGAAAGTGCGAACGAGTTACCCAGGAGCGCCCAAACGCGATAAAATGTTTTCACTATTTTCACTCTGGTCACCTCAATTTTCGTCCTAGGTCTTTCATTTTGGTCTCAATGGGTTCGTAATAGAATTTTCTTGAGGAACATTAGCATATAAAATAAAAAACCTGGTCACGCTCCAAGTGCCGACAAGTTGAAGACGGGCCACGCGTTAGCCGTGAGTGAGCGCTCAGATGCCTTCCCGCTACACTCCCAATTCCCGCCCACAAATGTTTAGTATTATTTCCTGGTGGTAATCTCAATTTTCGTGTTACAGCGCTCATTTAGGTATGAAAATGTTCCTAATAGAATTCTTCAGATGGATATGTGCATATAAGGGCCAATTGAAGAACAACATTGCCTGTACAATACGGAAAAGTATGAACAAAAAAAAAACAAATAATGAAAAAATTTGTACTTACCATCTCAGTGTTGTGTGTTGAACATGACATGGGTTGAACATTTGTTTTATCCACTCCACCTGCTCCTGGAAAACGTTTCTTGCAGGGTCAACCCATGTTTTGTATAGGTGGAGTGGATGGTGGGCAAGCATTACTGCTTATCGGCCCAGAATTTTTTCTTTCGATGGTATTTGCTGTAGCATGGTGCAGGACACAATGCCACATAACACGTCTTGCACTTAGTGTGTGTCCTTCCTTTTACCCGACAATTTGCACACACGACACCTCAGACGCTTCTGTATCTTTACTTGGGTATGGGACAAGTTTCTGCTGAGGCGGTCTGGATTATCCACAATACGGGGTCTTGTTGCAGCAGAAGCACCACTAGTGATAATCACAGCCTCGTCTTCTGACTCAGACGATGAAGGTAAGTCTGCAGGTGAAGTGAATAGTGGGCGCCTCACACCTGAAGGTCCTGCTGTTGGAGCTCTGGGTGTTGATGGTCCTGGTGTTGCAACATTGGCTCCAGTGGCATTGACATCAGCAGCATGTGGGATGTCATCATCTTCCTCAGGCCAGTTACTAGACTTATAGAACAATAGTGCAGCGATGACTTGTTCATGGAAATGGAGTAATGTCAGTTTCCTTCTATTTGTTGTGTAGTATTTGTACATCACAAAAGCATTGTAGATAGCCATTTGCAAAAAATAAAAGGTCATTTTCTTCGTCCATTTGTGTGTTTTCCTTGTGAAGTGATAATATTTGATCATTTGGTCAAAGTGATCAACACCTTTCATGTTTGTATTGTAGTCACAGATTGCATTCGGCTTGTTGACAGTTACCTGCGGCACTGAGGTTGTTCCATCACGATTCCGTACTCGTTTTCTGCGTTGAACCTGTTGTGTTTCTGCATTGTGGCAATTTGTTATGAGTGAAACAATTCGTTCATCTTTCCACAAAATTATGAAAGTATTGTCCTTGCGTTTGAATAAAGTTTTATCTACTGGCACTTTACCCTTTGCTTGCATCTGAAGGGATTTAGGTGCACCACGCTGCAGTCTGAGGGTACCACAGGTGTATACCCCTACTTGAAACAGTGCCTCACTCAATCTGACCGAATTGTAATACAGTAGTTGTCCATATATAAATGGTAACCTTTATCCTTCAGTGGTTTAATCAAGGCCATAACTGTGTCGATCGTTGTTTTCCCAACTCCTGAATAGATTTCAAAATCATAAATGTAGCCACTGGTAGCTTCAGCTAGCATGTAGAGCTTTATTCCGTATTTATCTGGTTTATTGGGATTATAGGTCTTGAAAGATAGACGGCCACGCCATGGCATTGTCCCTTCATCCAAACTCAAATTTTTATTGGGAATGTATATTCTCTTGAATCTATTCAGGAGATATTGCATGAGTGAGCAAACTTTGATAAGTTTGTCAACTCCTTGGCCTGGTGGTATGGACTTATTGTTATAAACATGGAAATATTTAGCAATCATTTCAAATCGCTTACCTGTCATGAAGGTGTTGAAACAAGGTATGTGCCAGAATCTGCCTGTTTGCCAATACATTCTAAGTCTTGGCAACGGGCAAATACCCATCAAGATCGTCAGTCCCATATATCTAGCAATTTCTTTCACTGTCACTGGTTGCCATCTGTGCTTTGTCCTTTGCCCAGTACCTGCCTTATTTTGGGAAGCATATAAATTTGTTTCATAGGCAATATATTTCAGCAATTTTTGTGTCAGAAAGAGTTGAATGAAACCAAGAACAGTGGTAGGTACAGGAACAGTCAAGCCTGGTGTACCTGTAAAATTGTCCACAAAGGGTGCAGTATTGTCACTACACCATCCATCATCAGAATCTGTTGGTGCTGGGGTACGTGTGGTACGTCTGGCTCTAGCACGAGCACGAGCTCCAGTACCGCGCCGTGCACGAGTGGCAGTCTCGACCTCAGACTCCTCACTTTCCTCACTATCAAAATCCTCAACGGCCGTCTCTGTTTCTAAATGTTCACTACTTGCATCAGTATCAATACCAACATCAGTTTCATCACTAGATGACCCAGACAAATCGTCAAATACAGCCTGAAACTTAGAGGGAGTTAGTCTCACATGCTTGTACTTCTCCTGTACACTACTCAGCTTCTGCTTTTCATGCCTTTCTTTCGCAATTTTCTTCCTGGAAGGGCCTTGTTCATGATCACTATCCATCGTGGAGTAAGCGTAGATAGTTTCTGAAGCCGCAGTAAGAAATATAGCCACGGAAAATAGCCGAAATGTTCACACGTTTGAGACGCGAGGGGAGGCGACACCGGTCACAACAGTGGAGCGAAAACAATGGGCCGACGGCGTGTGCCGCGCCGCCTGCGGGCCACTAGGCGCAACAAAGAAAATGGGAAGACATCGGCGCGCATTTTAAAACCAGTCCCCCAAAAATTGGATAAAAACCTGATTTTTGGCGAATTTTTAAAGTGGATGACGCAATGCTGCGTCATCCCCGGCATTACCGCCAGTAAACGGATAACGCAATGCTGTGTCATCCCCGAGCGAAAGTGTTAAGTGCATTTTTTTGTTTTTTAATGTTAAGTGGTTTGTATTATATTTAATTATGGCTTAACCACTGCACTGCGCCAAATGACAAATGCTGTTTTGAGAGTTGTCCATTTTTTTTAATTTGGCTATATTTTAATGTTTTTTAATGTTTTCATCACTCTTTGTGTTTTGAAATGAAAATAGTTGAGTTTGGAAACATTTTGACATTAACTTTACCTGAACATTTATAAAAACAACAAAAATATGTCCTTAACAATTGCACTATAAAGTTTTTGCCAAAAACAGGTGCACAGTGCAGAGGTTAATTTAGGTTTAAAATGTATGGCTGTGTTTTGCATTGTTACATGAAAACTTAGATCATTCTTATGTTACTAAACACATTCCAAACATTGTTTACATTGTGTTCATCAGTTACATTACTTGTCTTTTTTTGTTCCTAAGTAGTAGATAATTACCATAAATTTCATTATAACAGATTTGGCAGAAGGTAACCATGAACCCAAGCTAAATCTTCGGGAGGATCTAAGTATACTTGGGGCTGAAGTGTATATTGAAGAAGACTTGGAAGTAGGTGCCATGACTCGCACAGGCAGCAGTGGGGGTGCAAGTAGTGGATTGGGTGTCATATCCCGCCACTCATCTCTCATCTCCCTCCAAAATGAACACCGACCTGATTCTGCATCACCATCTTCCTTTGGAGACGAGGAGGATGAGGATATGCTCGATGATTCTGATGTTGATATCAGTTAATGTAAATATAACGGGAGGGTATGTTTTAGGGGCTGGGGAGGGGGGTGTTAAAGAAATGGTGAGGGTATTTAAAAAGTATTGCCAGTTGGTGTGATTGTGTAAGGCAGTGTTAAAGGTTCCCGGTCATTATATGGCCAGTGATGTGGGCCATGTATTTTATTTTTTGTTTTCAGAACTGTTTGGTACCCATTTTAATTATGGGTGGAAAGCGATTGTGTGGAGTATTTATACATTGTAGGGAAAAATTCAGCCCTTGAGTAGTTATTTTTAAAAAGGCCTCAAGGATTGATGAAATATAACATAGGAATGATGTAATACGTGCCCTACCCTGTGGTTGGGAGCAGTTGCACCAGAGCCTGAGGTTTCTCATACAAGACTGAAAATAGGATTGATATGGGTCAGGCAAATAAATTTTGCTCTTTTGGGGAGCATTAAATTGTAATTAAATGGAATTTAATGCAGCCTGTATGAAGTACAACTGCAGGGGTTGGCCCTTGGACGCTTGTAAAAGAGAATATCAATAATTTGTTTAAATGTGAAAGAAGTTGGAGATTGTTGGGGGTATAGTGTGGTGTTATTGCAGGGGAGGGAGGGGGCCGTCTCAGCCTTGGGATTCAGTACAAAGTGAAGTACAATTTGTACTACTGCATCTCTAGTGGCATAGACATTTCTGTGACTGGACTGTTTATATGCAATCTTTTTTTCTTAAGTTGAAATGTCACTTGTTTTTTTATTGTGGATAATTTTTGCTGTTATCTTTATCTATTATCTGAAGGATGTGTCTGCTTCGGGAGACTGGCAGGTTAGGATTATCAGCTCATCAACTGTCCATGTTAATCTCACATTTAAAGATATGAGATATTAGTTGTTGAACTTTTGTTGATTTCAAAGTCAACTGAGTTTGAATTGAATGATAATCAATCAAAAAGATGATTTCCTTTACCTGGCAGTGGTCATTCTTCCTTTGTGGACTATCTTGAATCACAAATGATAAGATAGAAGATTCCAGTGATAAGAAATATGTCCAAAGCTGTTAATCGTTGGAACGTTAAATGCCATTAGTGATATTTAACCATGTTGGCATCATCATAAGCAACAGTTTCAAAGACTACAAAGTGAGTTTATTTTTATGAAAGCAGAGTATATGTGCAAAGAGATGCTTATTATTACTCTTGGCCAGAAAGACATGTATATAAAGATTTACATTCAGCTCATTCAGCCGTGATTTATGTTAAACTGACTTCATAAATATGAATGTAGCAAGGGTATTGTGAACTTCAATTGGTGCCTGTTATTTTATTTATTTTTTTATTTTAATTTGTCATAATGCAGATAACAAGTCTCATTTATTGAGGGTCATAGTTTCTGCTCTTGCTACAAGCACCCAAATTATGTTTTTGTGCTTTCAACGAACCACAGAATGGTCTCAACACAATTTTTCTAAATGCAAAATTGTGTATAGTACAAATTGTTTAGATAGGATCATTAATATTTCTCTCGTTCCCAAAATACAATTAACTCACAAAGAGAGAGAAGCTGCCTGCCTGCCACTGTGTTAAGAGCGAGGAGAACAATTGTCTGAGGTCATCTAAGTATGGTCAACTCTACATTGTCATGTCAGTTGTTCAACACTATTGAGTTTTACAGTAAAGTTTTCAAGGTTTTCATTTAGGATATAAACTTCCTTTTTTTTTGTGGTAGAGAGAGTTTTTGATATGACTCATGCATGTTACTGATGATAATCTTTCAAATATATTATCAAATAAATATTTGTGCATAAACACTCAAATACTGTAGGGTGTGATTCAGGGAATTATTTTGTTGTATACTGAATTTATTTTTAATACAAATGTAAGGCACTTCACATTGTTGACATTCCTGTGCAATATCTTGGAGAATATTGTTTTTATTAATTAATGGCGAGTTAAAAGTTCATTTCATTGTGTTGCATTGCTTGACAGGTATACAACATCAGTGTTGTATGTGACAAGTATACATCCTCAGTGTTGCATTACTTGACAATTATAGAATATAGTGTATACTATGAGCCCCACTGCAGCAATGTTGCATTGCTTGATACATATAAATGCTCAGTGTTGTAATACTTGACAAATATACAACAAGTGAAGCCTAAAGATACAGCTGGGAATTATAATTAATGAAGTGTCAAAATTAGGCTTTATTTTTATAATGTATGTTTGAATTAAAATAAATTTCTTTGAACATTATAAAATGTGATAGTATATATATAGAAATAGTTTCAATCTTGTTCTTATATCAGTAATTTCCTTGTTTGTTTTTAAATGTATTATATACAATAAAACTGTTTTAGAATGAGTAATAATGTGCCTGAAAAACTAATATTAACTTTTTAAAGTTTGATTGCTTAGATCAAAAGATTGAATCACTGAGAATATAAAAGTTTACATACACTGTACTTAAAATGTTATGCATTAAGAGATTTTAAGTACAGTATGTCAATATAATTTTAAAGTTACAAATCTTATTGTTAAAGACAATTTTCTTATCAATTGGCAACACTACGACTGAGTCTTTGTGAGGTGTGACCAAACTCAAGTGGCCTGTGAGGACAGCTCCCCGGTGTAATATTTTCTCATTTGGAAGTAGACTTCTCACGACATTTCTATTTTTAATGCTGGATTTGCAAAGTGGCAAGTTCTGCTGTTAATAGGATGTATGAAGTGGTCGTCTAGCAGTGTGAGAGTATGACGAGTGACTGAGTTGAGTGCATGTGCTTTGTACACCTTAGTTTCTGCACTCACTGATCCCTATTCTTCATGTCTTCACACAAACTATAAGGATCACATTGTAACATGTTGAAGAAAAATAGAAGGTTTTCATTATATAATGGTTTTCTTCATCCCATATGTATTTTATTATGGTGACGGTAAAAGGCACTAGTTATTGATGGTGTGGTGTAGTAAAGTCTTGTATTGTAATACGTACGTACCAGTCTATTCCAGGAAATGTCTTTACAAGGTCTAAGAACACTTAAGTGACATTATATTAGTGCATCAGACCTCCCCACAATAATACTGTATAGTAGATTGCGTATCTTATTACACACGTGTCTGCCATGCACGAAAAAACATAAAAATTCACTAAAATATTATTACTTTGAATTATTTGGATGCAAGATGTATAGAAAAGTGAATAATAAAAGCTCCCGACCAGGGAGCTGGTCGGCCGAGCGGACAGCACGCGGGACTTGTGATCCTGTGGTCCTGGGTTCGATCCCAGGCGCCGGCGAGAAACAATGGGCAGAGTTTCTTTCACCCTATGCCTCTGTTACCTAACAGTAAAATAGGTACCTGGGTGTTAGTCAGCTGTCACGGGCTGCTTCCTGGGGGTGGAGGCCTGGTCGAGGACTGGGCCGCGGGGACACTAAAAAGCCCCGAAATCATCTCAAGAAAACCTCAAGATAGATGTTATTATCTACATTTTTTATTAGTTTGGCGAGTTGTAGAAATTTTGTTCTTCGTGAGCTTGGCTGGCATTTGTCTACACCAGATGTGTGGTTTGTGCTTACCTATCGGTGACTACGGGGGATGGGGACGAGGATGAGATCTTGCTCTTAATGATCTGCCTCCTAGCACTGATTATCCCTCTCAGCATTGCTTTCATCATATTTCTTTTTAGAGTTGTGGATAGAATTGGCTCCAACAACCACATCTTTCAAAGCATTCCATTTATCAACCACCCATACAAGAAACAAGAACTTCCTGTGTGCTATGTGCAGATGATTTCATTGTTAACCTTGGATAGTGAATATAATATTTGCGTTGTAGATCTAAATTTATGTATAGTACACTTGTTTACAAAAAAAAAAAAAATTGAATTGAATACATTACTAACTATAAGGATAGTGTATTAATGTCTACAGTGTGTTTGTAGTTACCAAAGTAGTTACAAGATAAAAGCTACACTCGTGGTGTCACATTTTCCCAGCATTCTTTGTCATATACCTCTTTAAAACTACTGATGGTTTTGGCCTCCACTACTTCCTCATTTACCTTGTTCCAACCATCTATCACGCTGCAAAAGAAAACTTTCTAATATCTTACCCTATCAATAATAGTACCCTTGTTTCCTTGGCTTGAATTTGTGACCTCTTGTTCTTGAGGTTGTCAGTTTCAGGAAATCCTCTTTGTCAGTTTGGTAAATTCCTGTTATTATTTTGTTAGTGGTGATAATATTGCCTCTTTTCTATCTTCTAGCTTTGGCATATTTAACGACTAGCCTTTCTTCATATCTCTTTTTTTTCAGTTCTGGAAGACATTTTGTAGCATGCCTTTGCACCTTTTCCAGTTTATTGATGTGCTTCTTGAGATAGAAGCACCAAACAACTGCTGCATATTCCAGTTTTGGTCTCATGAAAGTCATGAACAATTCACCATCCATGTAATTAAAAGTGATTCTAAAGTTGGAAAGCGCACATATGCTACTCTCACAATGTTCTTTGTGTGTTTTTCTGGTGACATTCTACTATCCAGAACCACCCCTAGATCTCTTTCTTTGTTTAGAATTCTTTAGTTCTATAATTATATCTACTGTGCATGGAGTCTGCCTCCATCTTCCACACATGTGTGTGAGGTTTTGTGTATGTGTGTAGTTACAGGATAGGAGCTATGCTTGTAGTGTTCTTGTGTTCCCAATGATCTTTGTCATATGATGCTTTGAAACTATTGATGGTTTTGGCATCCCACCGCCTTTTCACTTTTGTTCCATTCGCCTACCACAATTTGCGAAATAAAACTTTATTTTGTTGGTACCTTTGCTTCATTAATTTAAATTTATGACCTCTTGTTCTAGAAGTTGCAGATTTCAAACGTTCTTTTCTCTGTTATGTTGATTCCTGCTACTATTTTGTACATAGTGATCATATTGCCTCTTTCTTTCTATCTTCTAGCTTTTGCATATTTAGCAACTCTAGCTTCTCTTCATAGTTTGTGATTTTTAGTTTTGGGGGCCATTTAGTAGCATGTCTTTGTATTGTTTCCAGTGCATTAATATGCTGCGTCAGAGATAGGCACCATACAGCTGTTGCATATTCCAAATTTGGTGTCACAAAAGTCCTCAACAATTTTAAATACATGGACAGTGAAAAATTTAAAGTGATTTTGAAGTTGGAAAGTGTAGTATATTGTCTTTGCACGATGTTCTTTGTGGTTCTCCTGTTAATTTTCCAGATCCACCCTTAAATCTCGAGTTCTTCAATACCTTTTTACATAATTTGTAGGCTGTGTGTGTGGTCTATTTTCCCCTATTCTTCATTCCATAATATGGCATTCATTCATATTGAATATCAACTGCCAAGTATTGCTTCATAAAATTTTGTCCAGGTCATCTTGAAGGGCAAACAGTCATTTACCGGTAATTCTCTTGTCTTCTCTAGTAGCTTAGCATTGTCAGAAAATATGGTCATAAAATAATGTATTCCTTCTGGTACGTCTGGTCGGGCGCCTGACAGCTGGGTGGACAGCTCTTCGGATTCGTAGTCCTGAGGTTCCGGGTTCGATCCCCGGTGGAGGCGGAAACAAATGGGCAAAATGTTTCTTTCACCCTGATGCCCCTGTTACCTAGCAGTAAATAGGTACCTGGGAGTTAGACAGCTGCTACGGGCTGTTTCTTGGGGGGGGGGGGGTGTGTAACAAAAAGGAGGCCTGGTCGAGGACCGGGCAGCGGGGACGCTAACCCCCGAAATCATCTCAAAATAACCTCAAGAAGAAGATGGTAGAACATTTACATTGACAGTGAACATTATAGGTACTGGAACTGAACCTTGTGGAACTCCTCTAGTAAAATTTCTCTAATATAATTACATTACCTTTGATTACTGCCCTCATTTTTCTGTGGAAAGTTTTCATCTATGTCAACAGTTTTTGTCACCCCTCAAGCATGTTCCAATTTCCATAACAATCTCTTGTGTGGGACACACACAACGCCTTTTTAATTCCAGATAAAAGCAGTCAATCCACCGTCTCTCTTCTGTAAAATCTCTGCTCCATCATAATTTATCTGTGTTATACAGTATAATAATTATATTATGTATATAATAATAATATACATTGTGTTATAACATAATTATATTTATCATAATATAATTCTGCGCTCTATCATAAATCAAGTACTGTACAGTCATCTGCTACACAGGATTTTCCTGCTTAAGTGCTATATTGTCTGTCTTAATGTCATTTCTTTACAGATATTCTATCCTTTTGGTTTAAAAAAAAAATTCTTGTGTTTTGGCTACCACACTTGTATTTTAGAATGTTCTCTTTACTACCATTTTTTATAGACTGGAAATAAATTTGCCCTTTTCCAGTTATCTGTAAGATTCTTCTTCATAAAGATTCCTGAAAAATCAATTGAAGTTGAATGCTCAACTAAAGTGCTCACTCCCTCAGAACCCACGGTGAGATTCCATCTGGGCCAACTGCTTTGTTTCCTCCTTGCTCCTTCAGCAGATTTTTCACTTCATCTCTAGACATTTCTATGTACTTAGTTCTCTAAAATCCATATTGTCTGGTTCTCTGAAAAATTTATTTTTCTCAAACACACTTCAGAACTATTAACTTGATGCTTCATACATTTCCTGTTCTTTCTCTTTGAATCTGTTCCCCTTATTTAATTTGTGGATTTTATCCTATTCATGCAGTTTGCTTTTAATTAATAAGCCGGATATAATTGAGATGATTTTGGTGCTTAGCGTCCCCGTGGCTCAGTCCTTGACCAAGCCTTTTTTTTTTTTTTTTTTTTTTATTACACACCCCCAGGAAGCAGCCCATAGCAGCTGTTTAACTCCCAGGTACCTATTTACTGCTAGGTAACAGGGGCATCAGGATGAAAGAAACTGCCCATTTGTTTCCGCCTCCACCGGGAATCGAACCCGGAACTTCAGGACTACAAATCCGTAGCGCTGTCCACGCAGCTGTCAGGCCCCATAGTCTGGGCTCCTGTGACTATCTCAACCCACTGAAAATATGGGCCTTTGCAAATCTCCTTGCCGTCTTTACAGGGCAGGGAGCATATAGGTAACAGATCAACCCAGTTCTGAGGTAATCCCCCAGATCCTGAAAGACTTTTAACACAGGGGCCTCGCGGCTAAATGGACAGCACTCAGGGGTTGTAGTTCGAATGGCCTGTGTTAGATTCCCAGCGGAGACGTAAACAAATGGGCAGAGTTTTTTTCACCCTGATGCACCTGTTCACCTAGCAGTAAATAGGTACTTGGGAGTTAGACAGCTACTACGGACTGCTTCCTGGGGATGTATTCACCTAGTTGAGCTCTGGCTCTTTGGTCCCGAAATGTTTGTGTGTGGGTCTATTAGAGAGAAATATACTGTATGTAGTAGACATAATATATGAAAAATAGATTGGCTAGAAAGGCGGGGTCCAAGAGCTAAATAGCTTGATCTGCAGACACAAATAGTAAATACAGGTGTTGAATAAGAGTGAAACCAACATGGACATGAACGATGCAGAGAACATACCGTGTGCACAGGGGCCTACTAGGCCCTACTATCAACATCAGAGGTCCGAGACTGTTCAACACGCTTCCACTACACATAAGGGGCATAACTGGCCGACCCCTCACAGTGTTCAAGAGAGAACTGGATAAGCACCTCCAAAGAATACCTGATCAACCAGGCTGTGACTCGTACGTCAGGCTGCGAGCAGCCGCGTCCAACAGCCTGGTTGATCAGTCCGGCAACCAGGAGGCCTGGTCGACGACCGGGCCGCGGGGACGCTAAGCCCCGGAAGCACCTCAAGGTAACCTCAAGGTAAGGTAACAGTACACGGCTCTCGCTAGCCCTGCTGCGCTGCCCTAAATCAACATTAC